ATAAAGAACAACAATTTGCATATAATACAATTATGAAAAAAGTACAAAATGAATCAAGTGAAATTTTTTTTATCGATGGTCCGAGTGGGACAGGAAAATTTTTTTTATATAGAGCACTCTTGGCTGGTGTCAGATGTCGACATTTCATAGCTTTAGCAACTGCATCGTCCAGAATGGCTGCATCTTTATTACCTGGAGGACGAACTGCTCATTCAAGATTTAAAATCCCTCTACAAACGGTAGGTGAAGTCAACTGCTCTATTAACAAGCAATCGGCATTAGAAACTTTATTGAAAATGTGTAGGCTAATAATTTGGGATGAGGCACCTATGGTAAATCATTGTGCTATAGAATCTGTAGACAAAATGTTTAGAGACATCACTGATTGTAACTTGCCTTTTGGTGGAAAAGAAATAATTTTAGGATGAGATTTTAGACAGATTCTACTAGTTGTACCTAAGGGAAACAAAGAAGACATAATAAAGCTAGCATGATTTACTCGTATTTGTGGCCTTCTTTTGTACATTTAGCACTGGTTGAAAATATGAGAGCGAAGTCCGATCACATTTTTTGTGAATACTTACTTCGAATTGGAGGTAGAACAGAACAAGAAAATACTTGCAACTATATTAAGCTACCAAATAGTATAGTTCTACCATTCGAAGATGAAATTACATCTTTAAAAAAATTGATACAATGTGTGTTTCTCAATATAGATACATATACCGATCATTTATATACGATGGTCAATCGTGTTATTCTTACGCCTACAAATGAATGTGTTGACTACATTAATGGACTTTTGTTTGAACAAATTCCCGATCAAAGTTTCACGTACTATAGTTTTGATGAAACAATTGAGAAATTAGAACAAAACTTACATGAAGACTTCTTGAATACTTTGACACCATATGGTATTTCACCTCATGAGTTGGAACTGAAGATGAATTGTCCTGTAATGTTATTACGAAATATTAATCCTTCAGAGGGGTTATGCAATGGAACACAATTTATTTGTCGAAAATTTGAGAGAAATGTCATTCTTGATGAAATCACAACTGGTGAATATCGTGGAAAATAAGTTTTCTTACCTATGATCCCTTTCATACCTCTTAAAACTGATCGAACTACGATTCCATTTAAAATGACTCAATTTCCAATTACACCATACTTTGCAATAACAATAAATTAAGTACAAGGTCAGACACTTGATTTCGTGGGTTTGTATCTACCAGAACCAGTTTTTTGCCTTGGTCAATTATATATAGCACTATCAAGAGCAAAAACAAGCAGATCTATTAAAGTTCTACTCAAACCGTCCAATGAAAATCATTCGCACAACTCGTGTACTAAAAATGTTGTGTACAAGGAGGTTCTTTCATTCATACATTCATATAACTACACCTCTTTATAGGTATATGTTCGATTTATTGAAATTTCTTTCTTTGTTCGTGATTTCTCTGTCGACTATGCTAAATGAAATGCTTTTTTCCCAACTACAATACAGATGTTAGATTATTCTAGAAGTTGATGAATGGAATGGAGTGGATCATTTTTGTAAGAATTCTAACTTATTAGCATTTTGAAGTTGTTATTCAAAATATAAATAACATTCTACTTCAAAACATTTTTTTCAGAGTATTTAAATCAATTTAATTTACGCAGCATATTGACATTCAAATTTATGTGAAGAGAGTCAAGGAAATGTTGGTGCATAGAAAAATTATTGGAGCACACTCTTTTCAAAAATTGGTTACCTGAGGCAAACAAAGCTTTCAAGTCTTCAAATTTAAAGATAACTTGTGATGGAGACATAAATAACACAAGTTCTTCTGCACTAAAAGAAAAAAATGAGTGGATGATGATTGAGATATTTGAGAAGTTTTTGGCAACAACTATTCTCTTCTTTTAAATCATGTAGTGTTTAAACTGTCTAGATTAGAAATGATGTATACATCAGGGTGTTTGGTTTGTTTTATGGTGTTAGACAACATCAATTATTGTTGCAAGCTTTGTTGATAAATCTTGTATTTATTTTTGTCTTCTATTTAGATTTATTTTCATCCAAGTAATCTATACCTACAGAAACTTATTTTGTAAGTGACATGATTTCTTATATTTAGTTGTTAAAGTTAAAACTTTTTAAGATGGTAAGTTGAAATTCATGTTGATAAACAACTAGCAAAACAATAATGCTTAATAAAAACTAATCATAAAATTGAAAATTAGTATAGCTATGAAACTATCATTAAACTATATCATTAACAACAAAAGAAATAAAAAAATCACACACACACACACACACACACACGTACAAATGTGTGGGGTGTGCCCGCAGAAAATGTGTGGTGTGTCGTACCCGCACAATTATAAGCAATTTTTTCATTCTTCCACACTCGAGTATTAACAAAATGTAAGAAACTCTCATTTTCAACTTTCACAGAAATTTGGTGCTGACTTGCTGCGCGAAAATGTCTATTTTTCCGTTTGAAGTTGTCTATTTTCCCGCTTGCACATGAAGAATGTGTGGGGTTACACTGCAGACCGCTGCAAAATTTGTGCGGGAACACAATTTGTGCGGGGATAGCCCCACAAAAATGCACATATACCCCGCACATTTGTGGGGGCTACCCATATAGAGCATTTGTGCCGGTAGCCCGTACATTGTGCACCCGCACACCCTCATAAAGTGCGGTTACCCCGCACATTGGAATGTCCCCCTCGTGCGATACCCGCACAAATCTGCAGGATACGACATCACTCACACGAGGGGTATACCCACATCTTCATTGCTTTCTCTAAATACTATCAACAATATTTTGAGCTATATGAAATTTTAAATAAAATATATATTGTTTTGGTTTAAGATTAATACAAGAAACAAAAAAGTATTATCTCTTTCTTTCAATTTTTGTTCCCACAAAATCTTGCAAAACATTACAAATCTTGCAAAGTCACGAGAATCCTGCAAGAAGGTGCCAAAACCACTGCACATATTATGTCTATTTCTACAACTGTGGGAATACTTTGTCTATTCTACATGTGAACCTCTAGTCAAATTATTGAAAAAAGCAACGTACATTTCTTTAGCTTAAATACATTCACCTACCATTTGTTCTCACCAAAATTTTTTTTAAATATTTTTACCTGCCTGTTACACCAGCCTAACTTTGCTCAAAAAATTCAGGTGTTGTCTATTCTTTTTTCTTACTTTTTAGATAGATTTTTAGTTTTACATAATGTCTAATTTTCAATATTTAATTGTGTTTTAAATCATATGATGTATGTAATTCTTTCTAAATTTAGTAGATACAAAAATGGATGTGCCAAATAGCTTCTCCAAAATCACCGATGTTTCACTAAGTCATAATATTTGTTTTGTAAGTTATATAATAATTTATTTTTCCAGATTTTTTAAATCTTTTATTAATATTAATGTACAACTTATATTTTTTTCGTATTTGTCGATGCTTCCTACATCTTTTATCAATTATTGGAAACCAAAATTAGGTAATACACTACGATTAACTGCATATGATGGTATAATCGTCATAGTACAATTAGAAAGAATTGACGGAGAAATATATCTGGCTAATGGATGGGAAGAATTTTTTTATCATCATAACTTACAGGATGGTTATGTTGTAGTATTTGAATCTAATGAAAATTCAATGTTGAATATGAGGATATTTGATCATTCTAGAGTAGAGATTACATATGGCTCAAATTATGAAGTAGACGACGACGATTTAAATATGGATAATCCTGCGTTTGAAGTAAAACTTTCACTGGATCATAACAACCATCGAGAAATTATAGGTGTTATTTTTAATACGTCATTTTGTATTTACTTATTCCACATCATTCTTAATATTAGTAAATCATTAATCCGTGTTTTCCAGTCTATACCAAGAAAGTTTGCAAAACATCATTTGCCAAGACATGCGCAAAATGTTCGAATCCTCGACTCTTTACTTCACTACTAGGATATCACCGCAAATTCAAGAGAAAATGGTGTAATGCGCCAGCTTAGTGTAGGTTGGGCAGATTTTCTGGCAAACAAGCAGCTACAAATTGGCGATACATGTGCATTTGAATTATTAAATAAGGAATGTCCAATATTTATGGTTTACAAAAAAAACCATAACAATAGGACTCTAATACGTCTATGAAACATTTTTTACTGATGATATTCCTAGCCAATAATGTTTAATTTTTATGTTTATCCAGCAGTTAATTATCTCATCGACAGTTTCATAGACTACATTTTTTCCTTTCTTTTTACATCATAATATTAATAGAGTATACATCATTAACATACAGGATTTGCATACAAAATTTGAAGTTATTCTTCAAAAAATGAAGCATACTCCACGAGCATTCTACTTGAGAGCATTCCAAACTGAGCCTAATTCATCAAATTATAGATTTGACAGATTTAGACGATAGAAACACCCCAAGTGAAAAAAGGCAAGAAAATGTTGAGAAAAGCATCCATACAAACTCGCTTGAGGAAAATCCGTTGCCTCCAGCAAATAGAGCCCTTTTCAAATCTTCCAATGATGCTTCAAATTCAAATGTTACTTCTGACATAAATCCGTTTGCTCCAAAGCAAAAGATAGAGTGAAAAATGACTGAAATATTTTTGTTTGGGAAAAAAATAGATGGCTTGTTGTTGTCAGCTTTGTTTTTCTTTATTTTGCTTTATTTTGGCAATCATAATGTTGACAAATGATGTATGTATAACATGTTACTTACATCATTTATTGCTATCAATTTATTATGGATAGTAGAATATTTATTTTTTATTTTTGCAGTGAATTGTCAACATTAATGAAGGATATATTCTAAAGTATATTCTCATTTATTTTTTGTCTTTCATTTACTTTATTGAAAGCAAATAAACAGCTAAAATATCCATGCACAATTTTTCACTTTTAAATTTTGAATTTA